AGCTTGAAGCTTTTGTGGTGCTGGTATTATTCATGATACGTCCATTGTCTGAAAGAAAATACTGTTGCGTCAGCGAGTCACATGCCTACAGAGACGCCACGTATCTAGAACTATCCTGTACTTTGGCGAATGCTCTAGTATTTACTAGATATAGGGTAGTCGGGTATATATAAGAGGGGGACAACGTGACGCGGTAATGTGTGTGTATAGACAGTGAGTAATTGAACTGCAGTCAGAGAGCACGGAGACGTAACAGTTCGTTATAGTGTTTGTTTTAGCGCGAGTATTGAGATTAAGTGTATCGCAGAGTTATATTCGGAAAGAATAAACCAGTTTTATTAAGTAAAGACTTGTGTCGTTAAAGTTTCGTTGGAACGAAGTTACGAAAAAATCAATTAGCAAACGGAGACGTAACAATACTTTTAATACAATACGAATAGCAGCCACATTATTCTACATGGAGACAGCAACAAAGATGACCAAAGGTCAGACCTGTACTTTGTACAACCAATAGCAACACAACCAGTTGGCATTATTACACGATTAAGTTGTAAGCATTTAACTGATAGGTTCACCGTTATTTCATTAGTTTCTTGTTATGTCCAATGTGGCGGAATAAACAAAGCAGGCCCAGTGCATGATGTCACGTGTATAACCTCTATATGTACTACTATGAAGTTTGCGTATTGTGTCATGAGAGACATGCAATTTCAGAGCCATTTCACGAGTGTATTGCCTTGGGTTAGACTCAACAAGCGTCTTCAGAGCATCAATATAAATTTCAACATGTCGGCCCCTGCCATCACAGTTATTAAGGCTAAACGAAATTTACTGAACCATCGTTGAGACTTACGGACGTTCAAAATATTTCCATAAACTTCTTTGATATTCAAACAGCATTACATGCCGAATGTGTGTCTCGTCGTGTGCCATCACTATAAGGGATTAGAGTATACTAAATTTTACACATTATATAGTCTACACTAACATGACGTTTAGGTGGTTCGTTTAACTATTATACGTGATGTACGTTTTTTGGGGGGTGGTTAATGAAAATGTTCCAAAACGCGACGTTAGTTTCTTGACGACCTAATATATATATATATATATATATATATATATATATA